GATGTTAGACGTGGCATGGGTGTCATTCCCGGCCTGCCAGCTTCCTGCAGTGTGCCTGCACAGATGTGCCCTGGGGTATTTAAAAACCAAAACACTTGTTTATTCATTACTCATTTAATGACTGGGGGGGGGAGGGGGGTCCACTCTCGAGTCTTATACCACCACCACCCCCCCCCCCAAAAAACAGCGTATACACTGATTCACACACATACACACACACCTCCAATCCAGATCCCAGCCCTGGGGCATCCAGACCAGTAGTGCGTGTATGTTTGTGTGTCTGTGTGTGTGTTTGTGTGTGTGTGTCTGTATATGTGACTGTGTCTGTGTCTGTTTGTGTGTGTCTGAGTATGTGACTGTGTATGTGACTGTGTCTGTGTATGTGTGTGTCTGAGTATGTGACTGTGTATGTGACTGTGTCTGTGTATGTGTGTGTCTGAGTATGTGACTGTATGTGACTGTATGTGACTGTATGTGTATGTGTGTCTGAGTGTGTGTGTGTGTATGTGACTGTGTATGTGTGTGTGTGTCTGAGTATGTGACTGTGTCTGTGTATGTGTGTGTGTGTTGGAATGTACTGAAGAGTCAGAAACACTGTGGAGGTCCGTCTGGCTCCCCTGGCTCTCTGTCTCTCGCTCTCTCTCTCTCTCTCTCTCTCTCTCACACACACACTCACACAAACACACACACACACACACACTCCCCCTTACTTTCTCTCCCTCTCTCTCTCCATTCCTGTCTCTCTCTTTGCCCCATGTGTACATGTGCATTTCACAGAATGTCACACTTTCTGTCTCATGCCTGTCAGGGTGTTCTTAAGGTGCACTAAAGTTGCAGAAATTGAAAGCTGTGGAATAAAACGTCATAAATGAAATACACACCTGGGTATTTCTAACAGGTCATATTTATATTTCAGTGAACATATCTAAGTACTGGATTGAAATGAAGGTTTATAAAATGGGTCAGAAAAACAGCAGGAAATTGGCCAGGGGGAAAAGCAGTGACTGTTTTCTCCTAAAGAGCCTAATGAGTTTTCTCAAGTCCTCTTAGCAGGGCAGGAAAGCCCCTGTAGCAGTGACCACATACTGGGCTTGTAAAATGGTATATTCCAGTTACTCTGCACTCACCCCAGAGTTGAGCAACCGGAAATTTGTACGTTCCCCTTGAAAGACAGTATTGTTACTCCTGGGAGAGCATGGTTACTCCTTGGATATACGGTACTTTTCTCATAAAGGTGATATCAGGCAGCACTCATTTTTCCCAGATACACATCCTCCCATCTGTTTTCTGCCACACTTTCAGTAAACGGCCTCATTTCCTGTTTCCCTCCTTCTCCAGCAGGTTTCCCATATTTTGAAGAAGGATCTATCTCATTGATGCCGTGGGCTTTCTGCCTGTTCACTGGGGCCTTTCTCAGGTGAGGGGTGAATGACAGATAACAGTGACATCTGTCCTCTCCATTCCAGCCCTTAATCCTCTGCATTTATGTAACGTAGACAGAGAAAGAGTCTGTCATACCCCTCAGCAGATGCTCTGCATGTCATTGTTTGTGTTACTCCTGTTTTCTTCTGCATGTTTCTCTGTATCTTACTCTGTGCTAGTTTGTCTGTGTATTACTCTGCCCATATTTGTCTGTATGTTACTCTGTCTGTGTTTGTATGTGCATGTTTGTCTGTGTATTACTCTGCCTGTGTTTGCGTGGATGTTACTCTGTCCATATTTGTCTGTATGGTACTCTGCCTGTGTTTGTATGTGCATGTTTGTCTGTGTATTACTCTGCCTGTGTTTGCGTGGATGTTACTCTGTCCATATTTGTCTGTATGTTACTCTGCCTGTTTTTGTATGTGCATGTTTGTCTGTGTATTACTCTGCCTGTGTTTGCGTGGATGTTACTCTGTCCATATTTGTCTGTATGTTACTCTTCCTGTGTTTGTGTGTTACACTGCCTGTGTTTGTTTGTATATTACTCTGCATGTGCTTGTCTGTGTATTACTTTGCCTGTGTTTGTGTGGATGTTAATCTGTCCATGTGTGTCTGTATGTTACTCTGCTTGTGTTTCTCTGTGTATTCCTCTACATGTGTTTGTGTGTTACTCTGCATGTGTTTGTCTGTGTGTTACTCTGCCTGTTTGTGTGCATGTTAGTCGACCTGTGTCTTGTGTCATGTATTCTGGGTACTCCATTGACTAAATCAGAGCAAATGGTGGCTTTAAAATGTGTGTGGGATATTTATACCTACCAAGGACCACAATGATGCATCTTCAGCAAGTGTAGCCAAGGTAACTGTCCCTGCCATTTGATTTGTGTTGCTTTGTCAGTCGTGACAGAAACGCACAATCCCAGTGGAGGAGAAAGGAGAGGCCGGGCCAAGCATTCAAGTCTTAAGATGATATTTGATTGCCCCCTACTGGCATGATGAGGTGCTTTAGCTCACACACTCAAACCTCCCACTCCATCCATGTAACTGCCCCACCCTTGGCTAGTTCCTGCTATGCACCGGACTCCACACACCACCTATATGCAATGCAATGAATGACGGAGAGAAAGAGAGAGAGAAGGAGAGTCACCTCTGAGAAACTTGGCATTCAGCCTGGGAGGGGAGGGGGGGGGGGGCATAGCTGGAATAACACACAGCAAGAAGTCCTCAGATGTTCAAAGATAGACAGAATAAAAGGAGGGATAAAGAGTGAGAAACCAAGGAATAAAGCAACAGGTAGTGAGAATGAAGGGTGTGGGGGGGCAGGGTCCTGTTGGATTGTCAGGGAGCTCCGGTGGACAGGCTGGGGGAGCAAAGCCAGCTGAGCTCAACCTCTTGCTGCTCCACCCACAGCCGCTGGTGCCACGTGGCGGAGAGGCGCTATTAGAGACACACGCGCTCACACACACGCACACTCTCCGTCCACCATTTGGACGCAAGCAGTCCTTCCTCCATGGCCCTCTGTAAGATAGCGTCCCCTAGTGGGCTATAGCCCGCATTCTTCATGTGAGAGTTAAACCTCTTTGCACAGCATACGCTGTTGGTTAATATGGATTAAATTGTGTAGATGTGGGTTTTTGTGTGCTGGAATATGTCCTGGAATTGTAGGTTTGTATGAATTTGCACACAAACACCACTCACCCTGTGTGTCTGTGTGTGTGTGTGTGTGTGTGTGTGTGTGTTTGTCAAAAGAAGCACATTCACTGTTGTTCACACAGTAAACTGGAGGTCTCTCTCGTCCAACAGATGCAACTCTGCACTCGCTCTTTAGGGAGCTTGGATCTCTAAATACCAAACATGTCAGTACACACAACTTTATTGTCTGTAGGACTGCATCTGTGTGCATTTCCTTACATCATGATAAGCTAATACATTGAGCTTGTATTAAATATTCACTAAATTTCAACTGACTAGTTACAATGTCAGAAAATGGACACAACTACAGTTTTCAGAACTTAGCTGGTTCCCTGCACATTACTGCCCTCTAGTGGAGACAGCAAGAAGCTGCTTTTAAAATGAAAAATCTGATAATATCAACACTCATTTATGCACACATCTATCTATGCAGCCTCCCATCCATATTTCATAATCATTAATTCAAATGAAGGCAAGACTAGAGCCTATTCCAGAAAACATGAGGTGTCGCGCAGGAGACGAGATCGGGGAGGACACGAAGACATGGCTGGTCCCCTGAGACACTGTACCGGATGCCCCACCCCCCAAATTGAAGCTGTCATATCCATTAGCTGTTATTATGAGCCCATGAAGGCCTTGCACCCTCTCCCCCCTTGTGCACGGCCCTGCACTACATCACGGAACATTTAAAATTCCGCTTGACATTTTCTATTTGCCTGTAATTTAAGTTGACAAACCTGAATGCGAGAGATAAATTTGTTTCCACTGAAAGTGTTGATGTTACCAAAACACCATTTTTAAACATATATTAATATTTATAAACATTGTGCGCTATTAAGATTTGAGTAATTAAAGTCGTTCAATATAATAGAATTTAGCGTAATGTCAAAAACGATTACGCATTTTTCTAGCAGATAATGCTTAGTGCAGCGTTTCCCAACCAGGCCCTCAGGAAGCCTCATATGGTCCAGATTTTTGCAAGAACGTGGACTGTCTGGCGGTCGCTGAGGACCGGGTTGGGAAACACTGGCTTAGTGCATGGAAAGAGCATTAAAGCACTTTGTTTACAAGATGTTACACTAATGACTCAGTGTGGGGGCATTTATGCTAAACCTTTCGAAGGGCTTAGGAGTTTCACACCCCCCCCCCCCCTGGAATAATCTTGGCATTAACAAGCTAATAACTGCCAGCTTCTTGCACTTTGTCATTGTCTTAATTTTTACGATAAAATCATGTCGGCCAAATGAAGTTTTACAGGCGAAGGAGCAGAGCCAGAACCCCGAAAATGAACATTTATTCTGAAAAATAAAATTCTTGCACAATGTGCCCCGAGTTTGAGAGTTTCTAAGTTCTAAATTCCGTCTTGTTGGCTTTGTTGTATCTTGTTATATAGTATGACAATAGTTTGTCACAAACTGTTTTGAATCCCTTCTACTTGCTGTCTGCCTGTATGTTGCGCATGGTGGACATGGTGAAATGTTATTTTGTGTCACTGTACACCTGGCGTGACAGTAAAGCCCACTTGACGTGACTTTACATTTATGAGGGTTTTCTGAGAGTTATTACCTTACGATGAGGAGATTTTCAGGATCCTAATGACATCGTACTCACCCAGATTGCATCATGTGTATTAATAACTCCTACAGAAATTTGACTAAGACAGAATTGCTCTCATTATAAATATTTCATTAAAAAAAACAAGCAGTTATGAATACTATACAGTTCCTCGCTGTTTTACAGGACAGCACAAATAAAACAGCCAATCACCTTCCGTAGGGAGAACCATGTGACCTGTACGGCTGGTCACATTCAAGAGCAACTGATCACATGACCTGCAGATCCAATCATGTTCAGTATAAAGGGATCATGTCACCTGGGGACCAAGTTTTTTAGTAGAAATGGACAACCTGGAAGCCCCTCAGACACCAGAAGGCCCGGCTGTCCAGCTCCCCCATATTGATGGGGTTGTGCTCCAGCTGCACCCTCACAAGCATGCTGGGGGCAGCAGTTTTGCCCCGAGAGCAGAATGCATCACGGGGCACGGAGCGTATTCTGTTATGGCTCAGTGAGACAGAATGGAGGGTAGGTGGAATGTTCCGGGGCACTTGCTGCAGCCTGTTGTGGCTTAGGTCCAGTTGATGGAGGTTGGCAAGGCTGCCAAACGCCCTAGGGGCCACCTGGACAATCCTATTTCGGGACAGGCCCAGGTTCTCGAGGTTTGGCAGCCTGAAAACGGCCCCTTTGCTGATGGAGGTGATGGCATTTCCCTCCAGGTTGAGGGTCCTGAGGGCCTGGGGCAGGTGGCGAGGGACCTGGCTCAGGAGGTTTCCCTCCAGGTTGAGGCTCTCCAGAGACAGGGCATGCTGGAAGGAGTCCTTCTGCAGGCTCTTATCCACCAGGCGGTTGGAGCTGAGGTCCAGAGAGAGCAGCGCAGACCCTGCGGAGAACACGCCCCCAGCAACCTGCTCGATGCGGTTGCCATGGAGATACAGCTCCCTGAGCCGTGATGGGAGGCGTAACGGCACCGTTGGCAAGTGATTGTGGTTGAGGCTGAGAATACGCAGGTTAGCTAAAGGGGCAAAGACCCCCGGGGGGACAGAGCCCACCCCAAGGCTGTTATTGGCCAGGCTGAGGATCTGCAGGCCAGGACAGCGGGACCAGGCTGCTTCCGACATCACGCTCACAGCATTGGCATCAAGGCGTAGCTCCTCCAGAGATGCGGGAAGGTCGCTGGGCACGCTGGCCAGTCGGTTTCGGTCCAGGAAGAGCCGCTTGAGCAGGGCCATTCCCTCGAAGGCGCCCTCCACGGAGCCGTCAGTCAGCCGGTTGTTGCTGAGCACCAGGAACTCCAGGGCCAGGTACTCCTTGAGGAGATCCAAAGGGACGCTCTCGATTCGGTTGTTCATGAGGAGCATGTAGCGGACATTGAAGGGGATTCCATACGGGACTGTTTCCACACCCTTATCGGAGCACTGCACAACTCTGGAAAACACAGAGGTTATTTTTAATTCTGAAAGAAGAAATTACTAACAGAATAACTGTATACAGCTGATATATATTACTGAGTAAGAGTAAAGTTTACACACATTATCAAATAGTCTTTATATTTTGAAGCAGCCGCACCTCCCATAGCAAGCACACTCTGCAGGGCAGTAGTCATCTTTGAAGTACGGGAAATAGACTTTCTTCTTTTGCTTCTTGTCATCTTTCTTTGCTGGCTTCTTTTTCTCTTTTTTCTCCACTTTCTTCTGCTTGCCTTCCTTTCGATCGGACTCCTTGGTGGTCATAGACTCTTTCTTGGGGGGTCTTGACCCCTGATCCAGCGGCTTGCTGGTGAACTTGATGGGCACAGTGACTAGAGGATGGACCTTTTTATTCATTGCCATGGTAACAGGCCCCTTCTGTTCCCCAGAGAGCGGACGATCTGTCACAGTCCTAGTCCAGGTGAGCTTGCTGGCTGTGCTTTGGGTTCTAACCAAGGAAACTGGCCCGGATTCATCTCCTTTTACTGTAACAGCCTGAGAAACATTCTGATATACTAATGGGATGTGGGTGGTGCCCACAGTTTGATTGACAGTCTGTTTGCCTACCAGGAGTGAGTGGGCGGTATCTCCATTTTGACTAGCAGTCTGGTTGCCTACATAGAATGAGTGGGTGTTGTCAACAGTTTCAGTTACTGCTTTAGTGACCACTGGAAGGAGGTCCATATCACCTAACACGAACTGCTGAGACTCCAGTGCTTCACCATCCAGACTCTGAATCCCACCTTCATGCTGCTTGCTCACCTCCATTCCAGTACCCACCCTGCTGGCTTCTTCTCCTATCCCTGGACCTGCATCTTCTAGATGATCCTCCATGACATCACTGTCCACAGATGTTGCTTTGTACCCCAGACTTTCACCCACGAACCATTCACCCTGCTCTGTCTCCTCCTCTGCAAAGGTGTCCCGATTTCCTGTCACTGGGCGAGACTCCTTCACTGCCCTGAAGCTGAACCAGGGGTTCTGCTGGTTCTGTGCCATCACAGAGACGCTGAGGCCTACAGTGAAGGAGAAGCACACGGCGCACGCAAGGCATTCAGCTCTCATCCATGTGACGTTCTCATTTATCGCATACAAAGAGCTCTAAGCTCAAAGGACAGTACCTCCATCGAAGGCTTGTGCAAGGTAGATACTTACTGGGCTGAAGCACGTATCCTTGGAGAGGCACTGCAAGGGTCCACAACATCAAGACAAAAGCCTCCATCTCTCAGCTGTCTGATTAAAACGTCAAACAAAAACCCTAGCAAATAAATCAATACAGTTATCATATTTTAAGCATAACTTAAAATGCATTGCTGTTCAGACAATCTGCTGGTAGTAAATTGCTGGAAGACCACATTTTCAAAGTCAAAGTCAAATTTTTTTATTGTCAATTCTGCCATATAGAGCACACACTGAGGACCGAAATTACATTACTCTCAGACCCCACTGTGAGTGCACTAACAGCGACAAGCAAGACATACTGTACATGCAAGACAAGCAAAACAGATAGAAGTAGTCAAGTATATACATGTATGCAAAAATAAAAATAAACTAAATTAAATATTCCATGCAAAAAGATTTAAGCAGTGCAAAAATGGTGGATTCACATCACAAATGTAGACAAGCAGCCGTTTTTAGTTTTGCAGTCTATGTTGTAGGTAAGTTAGCAAAGCAAGATAAGTAGAGTGGCAAGAGCTGGATATGGGTGGGTGGGGGTTACAGTCCAGACTTTTTAGTTCATCATCACCTCTATATATAGAATGTATCTATACAGGTGCTCCTATGGCTGCAGGTGACCAGCAGGTCATTTTTATTGCTCAGATATCAGCTCTTACCGACATAAAGAGTTAGGTCCTGTTGATCAATCAGTGATGCTCCCTCCGTCTTCACTGTATAAATGTGCACGGCATGGCGGTGCTCAGACGTCTAGCAGGGGGCTGAGGAGCCCACCCTGTGGGCTTTAAATATGGGCTTGAATTTCTCACACATTCACACAGATAACCTACAGGGCCAAAGGTCATCCAATAGCCTTTTAAAGAACCATTCCTCTAGTGGAATGTTCACATTTACTCTCCAGGACAACAGAATCTTCGGGATCGATGATAGAGCACCAGAAGGGGTCATGTGTCCCACTAGTGGGCCTTCTGTTTACCTTCTCAGGTCATTAGGAGCACTGGTGTGCAGGTGACAAGTGCTTCAGAAACTGGACCAAGCTGGTTGGAGAACCATACAAGCTCCTCATTTTGCATGGGTCATGTGAATGAGGCCCTTTGGGAATGCTGGGAGTCATAGCGGTGAACCTTCCCATCATGGCATAGGCAGAAGGCATGTAACTGGTCTCCTTTGGATGTTCAAGGGAAGCACTGCTCAGTTTTTATGTTTCTGATACAATGGGTCAGCCTGTTTTCACTGCTTTGCTCACTGGACGTAGTGACACGATTCAGGCCAATGTGGTCTACATATGATTTGAAGAGATCTGAACACATGGCTTCCTCAAATAGGCAGATTATTACAGTCTGCATGATGAAACTCCTCCACCTGTCTTTAAAGATTTCACACACGTCTACACACTTTATATATCCGAACAGTTCTATGTCTTCTACAGTTTGAATGCAAGCTCAGAAGACAGCACCTTACTAGTTGTAATGTTCATTCTGCCATATCTACATGATCCCAGCACTGCTAAAATAAACAACCCAGTTTTCAAATATTTACTATGTGAAGAAACTGTACAAGTCAATAGTTCTACTGACTAGTTTGGATAGTTATTACTTAATATTTTGCCGCAATTCTCACATTAATTTATATACATATGTCATGAGTTATTGACTGAACTATGTTTCTATAATACTTTTGTCATTAAATGCAGAATTAGAAGTTGTACAGTATGTAGGAATGTTTAGACCGGGTTGTGAGCAAACTGGATCTGCTGCTTAAGATTAAATAGGCTGAACAAGAAATCCTGCAAATATGTGTTAATGCATTTTGACACCCCCATGTTACTTTTAAGGCTGTATATCCAGACAGACCCCCCATATTAACAGTTTGTATGTGAATGTGCTTCCGATGCCCATCGCCAACACCGGAAGCCAAGAAAACCTAGATAGCGAAGCGGTGCTTATTAACACCTGCAGCCATGAAAACCTGGATAACGAACCAGTGCTTAGCAACATCTGAAGCCAAGGAGTCCCAGATAGCAAAGCGGTGCTTCGCAACATCTGAAGCCAAGGAATCCCAGATAGCAAAGCGGTGCTTCGCAACATCTGAAGCCAAGGAGTCCCAGATAGCAAAGCGGTGCTCCGAAACATCTGAAGCCAAGGAGTCCCAGATAGCAAAGTGGTGCTCCGAAACATCTGAAGCCAAGGAGTCCCAGATAGCAAAGCGGTGCTTTGCAACATTTGAAGCCACGGAGTCCCAGTTGGTAAAGCAGAGCTTAGGAACACCTTAAATTACGAAAACCTGGATCGCAAAGCAATGCTTAGTAATACCTGAAGCCACAAAGTCCCAGGTAGCAAAGCGGTGCTTAGCGACACCTGCTAGCATCATCTGTATCAGCTGAGTGGCACCCCCTGGCTGGCGATTTGAGTCTTTTCCATAAATACATGCTGTCTAGTGTCTGTATTTATGTTGATCCACTTAATATATAATTGTACCTATTTATACAGATTTATACAGGCAGTCACTGTGCAAAGTTCAATAATTCAGGGATAAAGGGAGAGGCCCAATTCTGGGATGTGACCCTTAAACATTCTAAAGGGGATAATCTTGGAAGCAATCGCCCAATCAGATGAGGAATCCTGTCAATAGCATGTCTCATGCGTATGTTCTGGCATCTGTCAGTGTTCAGATTGCTGTGGAAGGAAAGAGTTCCCCTGCACTTAATCCTGGAATGCTATACCTAGATGGCCCTTTCCAACTGAACTTCTCCTCATTAATGTGTTGTTGCAAACTTGATGGAGCATCCTATTTTTGGTTCATCTAAAGGACTAAAGAAAGGCTCTCCAGAATCAGTAGCTGTGTGTGATCCAACAGATGTAAGAGGGAATGATGCTAAATGTGACCGAATGTAGACTTTGCTCTACGGTTCTGAGCATCCTTCAGTAACCAATCAGAATTGTGTTTTGCTCCAATAATATTAAAGCACTGGCAGAAGATGACACCCAGTGGTGTCTCTCAGTGGTAAATAGTCTTTGGCTGTGTTCAAATAAACCAGCTACCATAACAGTCAGTGAGACTATTGCCTGAAACATGAGCTGATGTAAGATGGCTGTTGGCAGTTTTCATTGTCTTTGATGTTATGTTCTGTTATTCCGCTTCTGTGGGCGCTGATGTGTGCCTAAGCAGGTTAGGCCTCTATGCCTGTGATAGCAGGGTCATGGGTTCAAGCCCCAGCAGAATAGTCACAAGTCCATGCCCGCCCGCAGCTCGTGGGGAACTGGCTGACCGGGTGCTGTGACCCTCCAGATTTGTTCGTACCTGTACATGTGCCTCATGGAAAACATGATGGGGTAGGCAAAAAGAGATTTTCCCCACTGGGATTAATAAAATATCACTATTCAATACTATATATGGGTGTGTGTATGTGTGTCTCAAAGGAGAGCAAGATGTGGTGCGTAACAATAAGTATTCCAATTTACTTGCGCAAATAAAGCGTCTTTTTCTTTCTCATGCATCCAATCAAATTGGTTCTCTGACAAGTAAACTTAAAAAGATGTGTAAGTTTAAAAGTGATCAGAAGAGGGCAGCAAAATCACACACAAATACAAAGGCTTGCTGCGTAGGCCTGAGGGCCATAACTTATTTTGTAGGCCATGTATACCAGGCCAATGTATAATTAGGCTAATAAATTTAATCCTTTAATTGTCTTAAGTGAATAGAAATATTAAATTATATTTATGAACATGGAAACATTTCTGCTTCAAAACATTGCATGTTTATCATACTCCAATACCCACCATGCATTGCCCTGGGGTTGTAGGGATTTTAAACCTGATATGTTAGATATGGGTTTGAAGGGGGGAGAAAATGGGGATTGGGTAAGAGTATAGGGTTACGGTGTTGGTATATGGTTATGGTTTGGGATAAGGTTTAGGGTATATGGTTAGAGTATGGGGTTAGGTTTGCGGTATATGTTAGGATATGGGTTTGGGGTGAGGGTACAGGGTTAGGGTATATGGCTAGGGTATTGGGTTAGATATAGGGTATATGGTTTGGGTATGGGGTTAGGGTATGGGGTTAGGTTTAGGGTATATGGTTAGGGTATGGGGTTAGGTTTAGGGTATATGGCTAGGGTATGGGGTTAGGTTTAGGGTATATGGCTAGGGTATTTTGGTTAGGTGTAGGGTATATGGTTAGGGTATGGGTTTAGGGTACGGGGTTAGGGTATATGGCTATGGTATTGGGTTAGATAGAGGATATATGGTTGGGGTATGGGGTTATGGTATGTGGTTATGTTTAGAGTATATGGTTATGGTATGGGTATACAGTTAGGGTATGAGGTTAGGTTTAGGGTATATGGAAAGGGTATGGGGTTAAGTTTAGGGTATATGGTTAGGGTATTTAGTTAGGTCCCAGAATAACTGCTCATATCAGCCTCTGTGTCCTTGGAAGCTGCCTTCAACGGCATGCCTGAATGACACAACACAGCAGATGCATTTCAGCACAAACTCAGACACGCATTTTAAATGCACCATGCAAAGGTTCATTTTACCTCCAAGCTGTGTGCTTAAGCTGCACTAATCCCACACAGAAGGTTCTGGACTCCACCAAGCGTGTGGGTTTCATTCAAGCATGCCTCTGTCGGCCATTTCCTGCTCCACGCCTCCTGCAGGGGGCGCACCTCCCCTCCCCCCCCTACCAACTCATGTAAACTGGAGGGTCCAAGCTGAAGATTGGAAGCAGTGCCACCATAAAACAGCAGAGTCGCATCAGCTCAGAGGTCACAGGGAAAAATCTGCAGCAGGTGAGGAGCAGCGATGTTAAAGTCAGCATGTTGGATGGGTTGGCATTGCTCTCCCTGCTGAAAGGAAGACTTTGCTCCTGGAGTTTCCACCTCATTCACCCCTGGAAGCCTGGAAAGCCCCGGAATGGCCACCACATCAAGCCATTCACAAAATGTGCTGCTCCTTCAGTGCATAAATGTTTTTCTTGCCTGATGGTTCAGCCCAGTGCGGACCCAAAAGAAGCCTTGTTTGAGTAGCATGAGTGACCAATAACAGAACCACAGCCCTCCCATAAAGAGCAAGGCCTTATTTTCTTAACTCTGCAGAGCAAATATTTGAACAAATTAAGGAATATTAGTTCTCACCGAAAGCTGGCTGAGACGGCTAGCGCTGGAGGACTTTAGCATTTTCTATATATTATGGGGCTGGAGGGAGCCATTTCACTGCACGATCCCTTATCGCTTCTTTTAAAAAGTCAGTTTAACAGCAGTTACTATGGTATGTCCTGAAATGTGTCTCACACTATGTTCTACAAGATCCCTAATAGGATTTGCAGTTGTGTCCTTGTATGTGTTGCAGTGTCCCAATATTTTTACTGTACAAACATTTCAGAAAGAAAAATATGCAAATTCAGCACTGTTCAGTTTTTGCAATTGCCCCCAGGAGCTGGAATGTTATGAACAACAGATATAAAGACTCCTTTCCAGATAAGGGCAATAATCTATCCACATAGAAACATCCAAACAGCTCTGAGGACTCACACTGAAGCATTTAACCAGGCAAAAACAAGCCCGCTGCTTCAAATAATCACCAGCTAACACATAGCTGCTACTACAGGCACGTCAAGAAAGTCGTGTTAGACAGAGCGTGTTCAGCCTTGGAAAGATTTACGGCTCCTGGGTACACCCACCGCCCAAAGCGGGACCGTACCTCTTTGCCTACAATAGGGGCCGTGCTCTGGGAGACGCAATG